ATATATGTACAAATAAATATAACCAAGTTATTTAGCATAATTCAAATAGTTGATTAATATTTCATAATATTCTCTGTATAGTTAAAAATTCGTTAAAAAAAGAATTTACTAAATTCAAATTAAATAGATAAATATATTGTATATTTTACAGTAGATAATGTTCATAATATTCTTGTACATGTACATAAAAAAAGAACAATATTAATGTTTTCAATATGTTAAAAGGTAAATATAGTTTCTGTTCATTATGAATAACTATCTAATACGTAATTAGAACTCTATATAGCAAGTTACGCAACTCACTAAACAGAATGAATTCCAAGATACTCGAGTCATAATCTGTTAATCTGTGATAGAAATACAACTGTTACAATGAGGATGTGGGAATTGTAAAGAATTATACTAAAGATTTGAAGATAGATTATAGTATTTACAGATTTTATTTATTATCGACACTAGTGATGTGTTTTTGTTTCTATGTACAATGGGTTTTATCAACATGCATCAATAATATCTATTTTGGAATATCTCTTCTGTTTTGTATTGAAAAACTACACCCATTCGAAGTTGAGCGGTGCCTAGATTATGTTTGGATGTATTCAATTGTAGTCGTTTAAGTACTATCATCAATTTCAAACGTTAAGAGACTTATCTTTTTGTAAACTAAATTGATCATTATAATCTATGTTTTCTCAAATCATTTGTATGAAAATAAAACGTTGAGAATCATGCACTTTTAAGAATAAAATACCATGTTACTAATAGACACAAGATGGTATCAATTGATTAAGAAACAGATGGATTATCTTGAAAATTTAAAATAAATATCGTTTTAATTAAATATATTTTTATTGAATCGACATATACTTACTTCATATAAGATCTTCATTAGAGATGTGTAAGGTACGCTTTAGATATGTGAAACAAGTTTCTAAACAATTTTCTCTGGAAAATTTCCTGAAAACTGTCTAATAGTGTATTTCAATTTCATCGAAATTTTCATTCTAACATGTTTATGAGGTACAAGAGATATTAGATCTATAGTTTAACATACAATGTCGATATTTATCCTTTCATACTCCAACATTAAACTAATGAATTTGATTACTTATTTGTCAAAACAATAGAAAATTGCGCTGAATTTTAGCCAAGTTCTTTTTTTTTACATTTCATCAAAGTTCCTTGTTCTTTTGAAATAAATTTTACAGAAAAATAAACTTTTGTTAAGAAATTAATACAATTTCCTATTATTTTGAAAAGCCGAGGATCATATTTATTTGCTTAATATTCGGTTCTGAAGAAGTAACTGTTGACATTATATAACAAACTATTGATCTGAAGTCCCATTATCCAATATACATGTTAGAAGAAACATAATATCAATTGAACTAAACTATATTATTATATATTTTTTTCGGAAAATTTTCTAAAAAAAAACAATTAACTTAGAAAAAAGATTTATTTTGAATAATAATTATTACATGAAAATGCTTTCTAACTCAGTCTGTTTCAATTCGAAAAAAATCAACAATTGGCAAGTATTATATTTTCAGATATTTAGAACTATAATTATACTTCTCCCATTAGAGGATGAATGATAAAATGAAATTTTAATCTATTGAATTTATTTTGTATCACAAGCAAATTCAATTTTTTCTAAGAATTCTACTAATGATATACTTTTTTTTTTACTAATATGACTTGTATTATTTATATTCACAATTATTTCTATCATTGTTCTAAGAACATTTTTGCTTTATTTTAATTATTAATTACAAAGGAATCCAAATGGCAATAACAATATTAACAAAGAATTAGTTCAAATGATTCTTATCTTCAAAAAATTATTTTATTTAATTAAAACAATAAATAGTCAGTTATCAACAGTAATGAAAACAATTTTCATCAAATTTTATTGAAGAAAATTTCATTTTATTTAACAATAAAATTGTAAAACTTTGAAGATTTTTATTTGTTGAATTGATGAAAATATTTTTCAAATAATATTACATATCTAGACGATATTTGAATACAAGAAACATTCATTATTGTGTCAAATATTCTATTGTTCTTTGTTTAATTAGAGAAGTAAAAATCATATTTGCAGTTACTAAATTTCATGTATCAGCAATTTCATTTGAAATTTATTTTTTTAAATAAATTTAAAATCTATATGAAAAATACTAAGTAAACCATTCGCTGATATGTATTAGAAAAATCTTTCTTAGGAAGAAATGAGAAATTCAGGAGATTCTCTTTCTATTCAAAAGCCATATGGAAAAGATATAGATTAAGAATAAAATCCTTTATATAAAAAGTGAAGGAACAGTTGATTAGAAACTAGAAAGTTCAAATTTTATAATTCACTCAAAACATGAATATATTCCAACTGAATCAGCATGAATTTGACATGCTATTTTATGTATCGAAAGAAGTTATCGCACAAAAAAAAGGCTGAAAAAAGAAGTAACACTTTATTGACCATTAAATTTTTATCAAAATTAGATGAATAAGTATTATGCTTTTGGTTTTTTTTATTCGATATTATTAATCTTACATTGGCAATGTATGATAATCTTCGATTGAATATTACTTTTATATAGTTGACGATATTTATTCGTCTATAGACAAGTCTGATATATATATATATGCACACTCAATATAATGATCAATTGAAGTAATTGTGGAATAATTAAACATAAATGAGAAACTATTCATTTGAGTTATTCAGCCATTGTACATAGTAATAGAACTAATGTCCATTTCAAAATATAATGTCCGTCGCCATTTTTTGAATAATTCGAGAACGCAAACAGCTAGAGACCTGCGGATTTCACCAATCGATAAATAAGACAGGGGGACGTCTTTTTCTCAGGTAATGTGTAAGGCGAAATCCTTGTAAAACTAGTCATCTCTGAAAAATATGAAAAAGAATGCATGAAAATGACCTGCCATCCAGATGAAATTTGATTTTGACCTTTGATTTAGATAGAGAAACTTGAGATCTATAGTTCAAGATACAATGCACTTTCTTACTTTTCCTTCCATTTTCATCGAAATGTCCAGCTATTATGATAAAACTGCAAAAACATAGTAAAAAATAATTAAAATTCTCTATTATTTGTGCATGTAAATAGATGGTTCCATTTGGTCAACGATAGCATGCAATAAGAAAAGTATTTACATTCTATCTTGAACTATAGATCTCAAGTTCCTCTATCTAAATCAAAGGTCAAAATCAAATTTCATCTGGATGGCAGGTCATTTTCATGCATTCTTTTTCATATTTTTCAGAGATGACTAGTTTTACAAGGATTTCGCCTTACACATTACCTGAGAAAAAGATGTCCCCCTGTCTTATTTATCGATTGGTGAAATCCGCAGGTCTCTAGCTGTTTGCGTTCTCGAATTATTCAAAAAATGGCGACGGACATTATATTTTGAAATGGACATTAGTACTCATTTAACAAATATCTAATCTGTTCAATCATCTACTATAAATGGAGAGGTCCCTGATTTAATGTTCAATGTAACTCTTGCATTATATATAACTCTATATAATACAAGAAGAAATCTTTTCATTATTAAGTCTATCTGTTTACGTTTATTTATACAAAATCTTAGTGAAATTCTTCTCATCAATCAAGTAACATTGTAACTATTTGATTCTATCTATTAAATGAATGATATTATATATACAATAAAATATATTATTGTGTAATATCTTGATGAATCATTTTGTTATTAAGTGAGAGTCATGAAAGTATGAAGAAAAGATGTAAAACATAATATATCATTATTATAAATTTATTCGAAAATTAAACCTTTTTATTGACTTGCTTGTTGAATAACTTCACATCGTTATTTAAAATCATGGATTATCGCAAGATAACTTTTTAAGCTCTGCTCTCACCATGACTAAAACCAAGCAAGACATAACATTGAAGTGTAATATTCTGTGTAAAAAAATCTAAAATATTAATAAAAATTATTTGATTGCTTTTAAATTCAATATTTATTATTTACATATTTTATTTTCAAAGCAAACTCTACAATTCATTCAATATATTAGAAAATAACACTCATTTTAAAATTTGAAAGAAAATCTATTTTTAATAGATTCTTTTGGTTTAATAATTCAAACTATTATTGTTTCAATTACATTATTCAATTATTAATCGATATTAAATAGGATACGGTTGAAAAAAGATTTTCTCAAGATTTAACTTATCACTCTACTTTTTGTTTTATACTTCTGATCTCATTAAAAAAGCTGTTAGCGCAATCCCTTGCGGGATTAAAAATGTGAAACACGATGGACCTATTGTTACTAATTAAATGGAAATCATTTTGTTCCATTTCCTTACGACACATTTGTAGCTGACCGTATATCTGATACTTTACAACTACAGTTTTTGTGTCACGGTCTATGATGGGTACCCGGGTTCTCTGTCACGGTCTGTGATGGGTATGAATTTTCTCTGTCACGATCTGTGGGGGGGGGGGGGGGGGGCCAAAATTTCTTCCCTAAACACTTCAACACCCCTTTCAGATCGTGTTTCACAAAAAAGGTAATTATAATGCTAATCGAATCTCTGAACATGTCATATATGAAGATACGAGTACGATAAATATTGTTACTTGTTCATGTGAACTAGGATACCGATAGATTCAATTTATTCTATTTGTTATCTTTGCACTTCTCAATGAAACATGATGCTCCTCGATGCAATCATTTAATTTTAGTTTCTTTGCTGAAGATGATCAGTTCTCTCATGAAGTAAGCTGAGTTCAATATTAAAAAAAAATGTTGGGCACATGAATCAATAAAAATTTTTCTTTTTAAATATTCTTTTAAATTTTTATAAATTATATCAGAGAGTTCAGCAATATGTTAATACAGTTTTTCATAAAATTTAATTTACAAATTAGCACTATTATGTTTTAAAATAAGCTATTAGTTCAGTTTCAGGAAGAGATTCATCATATTGAGAATTTGTTTATTGTTGTTGTTGTTCAGGTGAAGCATTATTAAAATATTTAGATTTTATTTTAAGTCGAGTAGGTGAACAGTTGCATGAAGAAATCGATGAAGTGCTGTTGATAGAGAACTTGCATGATGGTGATGATGATGATGATGATGATGATGCTAATTTTCGTCGTTTACATGGTGGATCTTGATCGATATTGGTAGATGATACATCACTAAATGAAAAATAATAAAATAAGCATTGATATTTTTAAATATGATTTGTTCAAAAGTTAAGTTGAAGCATAACTTCTACTTAGAGACTCATCAGTAGTTGACGATTTATTTTCATTAAATAAACAATACACGGACACTTACTTGCTTATTCTTCGATAGTAGTTTAGTATCGTGTTCACCGGCTTTGTGTTTGTGACAATTTTATTTTTATATGTTGGGCGTATTTAATTTATTTCACATCATTCTTTTCATGGAGTCTGGGCTTACTACAGGTTTTTTGTACAAAACTAAAAAAAATCAACATAAAAAATATATTTCCAAGATATAAATACTTTGCATAAGGATCTGATCGTAGAATTCTGTGTGCTTCATTCAATAGTTGAGCCACTGATGAAGAAAGAATAACTTTTTTACATGTTGCAGAGTAAGTCTCCCATGAAATATTAAACTTTTTTAAATATTGATCTTGGAATTGATTGATGTCGCATATATTAATTGTTTTTGGCAATTTTTTTATGTATAAAATGCTGCTATTTTTACCTGCTATCATGCCATTCATTATTTTCATCAATAGACCATCAGTTACTAATTCGTCAATACTTGGTCGAATCATACAATAGTTATGCTTCAATGTCAATATTGAATTTGTGACCTAAAATAACAAAAAAAAAACGATACAACTTAAGAATACTAAAAATGTAGACTAATTTTTAGTTTTTTTTCAATTCAACTCGTCAAGTAAACGCAGATTTTAGACAAGAAATTATCATTATTTTTTTTTGATTGATACTCATTAAATTTCGAGAAAATGATTGAAAAATTGGTTTCATTTCAGATTCCAGATTTTTAATACTTTCTAATTCTATTTTTTAAAAATACATCATATGTTATATTTTAATATTTATCTATTTTGGAATAAAACTAATATCCCAAGATGAACGATATGAAAAAGATGTAATTGAGAAGATTATCGTTTTTTCTAGTACTTAATCAGAAAAGAATCCTTCTATTAGAAAAACTTGGTTGTCAAAAAGATATATATCATTAGTTGTCTTCATTTGTGTTGTTTGTAATTGACGGTTTGAAAATTTTTCAGGTAAATTTCTTTTCTTAATATATTGAGTTCTTTTATCGATCAAAGATCAAATAATAATTAACAATTACTGTACTTTAATATGACATTCAAATAGCACTATACTTTATCGAAAATTATTAATAAATATTATAACTTAATGCATACAAGTACACATGCATTTATAAATATGAAATATTTCCTCAGATAATTCTAGATGTTCTACCCAGGTCGAAAAGGCACGATCGTAAACGGTCGTATACAACGAAATACGCCTAGATTCGGTGGTCGTATACGATCGGGGCATACTCTGAACGTATTCGATCGCGTACGTCCTAATACGATTAACGTATACGTTGCAAGTAAATGAATGTCGTACACGACTATCGTGTACGGTCGTAAATGGACCTAAGTTAGTCGTAACTTGAGTCACTGAATTTCTTCCTTATACAGCTCTTCTATTGAATTCAGCAACTAGTCCGATGAAAAGCATCAATTAAAAAAATAATTTTTCTTTCAATTATTTAGATTATTTATAAGGATAAATCTAATACTAAATATTTATTTATTAAAATAATTTGATTACATGTCTTCGGAGAATATCCCCGGAAACTCGATTATGTCCTAGGGTAAGAGGTATATAGATATATAGGTATAGGAGGTATAGGAGATATAGGAGGTATAGGAGATATAGGAGGTATAGAAGGTATAGGAGATATAGTGGTGCTTATATATACAGATGCTAATCTGTTTGTTGCTTCATAATTGATATACGTTATTTGAAATACGCACGATCTCTGTAATCATTTTAAACATTAAGTACAATTAATTGGATATAAGAATATATTTTTGCGTATCAGATGTCTGATTCTAACAAGTTATTCGAAGTTCTTGCTTCGTGTATCGGACCGACACCATTGCCATATGTATGTCGAATGTATATGGATCTTTCGATTCTTCCACCATCGGTTTTATCATCTGATTCACGTGCACAAATTATTCAAACTGCTGTAAATGAACGTTTTGAAAGTCAATTTACGATTGTTCAAATTCGGACATTAACAAATCTTATTGCTATGAATATTTCGTTTGTTCGAAATATTTTTCTCATGAATGATTTAGCTTCTAATAGCGTTAGAATAAAAATCAATCACACTGCCATCGATGTCTTACATGATTTAGTACTTTTGCCATTTACCACGACATGTATCAATTGCCAACAAAAATTAACAGTTTATGTTACAAAAGTGATCCACATTACGATAACCAATTTCTAAACGATGTGAAATGACGACTAATTTTTTTTTCTAAATTGGTTTCTTCGCATCATATAAATGACTGCATATTTTTCTAAGAAAGACATTTCACTAAAATTAAATGATTTTAATTATATTACTCAAGATTCTATAAAATACAAATCAATAAATGATAGTTTATTGATTTTTAATTGAATAGTACTTAAAACTAGGATTATAATCAATAGGTGGACTAAATATTTTATGAACTAATGAAGAAATTCATTTTCTCAGTTCATACACACTAAAATAAAATGTGTCGCATATATGTGTCGTACAAGAATGTGTCGCAGACTCCATTATAAAAATGTGTCGTATTATAGATGTGTCATAGCCTATATGTCAATCGTCCATTCACCGATTTGTTTCGCGAGTGCAGCTGCATATAACCGAGCCTATTGGACGTACTTGGCTTATACATTTTCGTATGTCTTTTTTTTCTAGATTATTTCTCGACCATTTATTATTCGAGAACATGTCGAGAGGTCGCTAGATGATCGACAATGGACTGCCTCGAAGTAGTCTGATCGAGATCAAATGGTCTCGAGACAGCTAGATCTTAAAACCTACCGTCTTGAACTCCAAGAATAGGTACTACTATTTGAAATTAACTGAAAAAATAGTAACTATTCGAATTTTCAAAAAAAAAATAATCCTCGTGCCGAAAAATAGATTCCAACCACGTGTTAAAAATGTGTCACATGTGTCGCACAAGAATGTGTTGTACGTCCGCTGGAAGAAATGTGTCGCAACGAGCTCCTCGTGTCGCATATGAATGTGTCGTACATTGTGTCGCAAAGTACGACACATGCGACACATTTTATCTTAGTGTGTAAGTCATCACGATAGAGCCATCTCACGATATACAACTCTTATTTCAATGAAGTTTACAATAGAAATTATTCTAGAGAAAGTAAAATAATTTTCTTTCACTTGAAAATATTAAAAATTCTTTTATTTGTTTATTCTTTAGGTAAAAAATTTCATCAAAAATGCTCATGTTTCGCAAGTTTAAAAATATTCAAGTATTTTTTATTATATATTAAAATTGGGCATTTAAATTAGCATTGTATTTTCGGTTATTATCGAACACAATTCTTTTTCACTTATGTGAGCGAATAGATATTTTACTAAAATAGCTTTTTCTTTTGCTATATAATAAAAAAAACTGTTCTTTTGAATATGAAATTGCTTTTTTAAGATACAAAAGGTTGGCCATTTTAACATAGTTTAATAATTTAAAGACAATCGTAAATATTTCTAAACACTTTGAATATCTCTCTATTTGATAACAATGATTAGTATCTTTTAATATCTACTCTCTCGTACATCTCTACTGAATGAAGTTAAATCAGTCATTTTACAATATCGTTTTGAATGGTTTTATTATATTATTCAGATCTTGCCATTAACTCATAATCATTATTCAATTTTGATAGTTATAGTCATCTTGAGGGTGTGGATGTGGCTGTGGCTGTGGCTGTGGGTGTGGTTGTGGGGTGTGGGGTGTGGGGTGTGGGGTGTGGGGTGTGGGTAGGTTTGGGTGAGGTTTGGATTTATTCACTATACTCTGAAGATTCAGCACCTTACACCTACACCCAGACCCACATACCCACACCCAGACCCACACACCCACACCCAGACCCACACACCCATACCCAGACCTACACACCCACACCCACACCCAGACTCACACACTCACCACCCATCGGAACATCTTTTTCTCCAATACTATATAAGACGAAATCATTTTAAAATCAATCATTTCTACAAAACTGTTAGCGTCAGTAGATGGTGCTTACTGACGCTAAACGTTTATCTTATGTTATCTATTTTTTGAATCTCTAATTTGATTTGTTACGTAACCTCTCAAGTATGATTCATCTCGTGATTATCTTTTTGTCTTTCGTTATTGCGCAGTTGTTGATGTTCTATCGTATCGATCTCTCGATACTCAATATATTCTATATATGACACGACGACAAAGTCGATTATTAAAACATGTTTAGCTCTCCATGTTTGGCAGACTAAATATTAGTTCTACCATTGCTACATAATTCCCAAAACGAGAGCTAACAAAAACATTGGAAAAAAATGCACGAAAACAGTCTGTTATTTAGATCAAATTTTGTTTTTGATTTGTGATTTAGATAGAGGGACTTTAGATCTAAAGTTTAAGATATAATTCAGACAATTATCTTCACACATTCTAATGTTAAGCCAATAAAACTGTCTATTTAGATCTTCAAAAAATATGAATTTTTCTTAATTCTTAAGCAAATTCTCTTCATTTTTGTCAAAATTTGCGTAGCTTCTCAAAAGAGATACTTTTTAATTAAATATATAGTTATTTAAAAAAGCTACAGCTATTTAAAAGAGTCATAGATATTCTCAAAAGAGATACTTTTTAATTAAACATACAACTATTTAGAAGGGGTGCAACTATTTAAAAAAGCTGTTAGTGGAATTCCTTGCGGAATTAAAAAACTGAAACACGATGGATCTATTGTTATTAGTTAAATGGAAATCGTTTTGCTCCATTTCTTTGCGATACATTTGTAAGCTAACCCTTTATCTAATGCTTTAGAACTGCAGTTTCTCTGTCACGGTCTGTGATGGGTCCAAAGCCTGTCTGTCACGGTCTGT